GCTGCAGTTAAATGTTTTGGCAGAGTACCTCTGTTTTATGACCTCTAGAGCACGAATGCAGATTTTGGCCTTTTAAAAAGAATCTGCCATGCCTTTCATTATACTTTGGGGGAGAAGTTACAGTAGATTTCTCAACACCACAAATGATTCATCACAGAATGATGAGTATAAGAAAACATATGTGTTTAAGATGCTAATCCAACACACATTTGAAACAATAGTACTTACTGTGCTGCTCCTTCCCTGAGAAGATTGTCATTGCTAAGCAATAACCGGACATCTGGAGAAAAGAAAATGCCCAGATTATTGGATTTTTTGATCAAATCTTTCTCCTCTTTCATTTCATCTTTAGTTGTACAAATACAACCATTAAAATGATTAAATCATTTCATTAAGCCTGTGTAGTCACAGAATGACACTTCCCTCATTTGTATTTGCTGGCCTTAAAAGGAGTAAATGATATATCCATAAACTTTCATAACTGAAACATGAAGAAAACCTCACAGATCATTCTTGTTTACTTACCATTGAACACTTCATTAAATTCTCCAGGGGGTGCATGAGTGATGAATTTTGCAGCAATGCGCACCTACAAGGAAGCGGAAGAGTAACAAACTCGAGAGAAAAGACCAGTAACAACGGTTACAACCTACGATGAAGCAATTCACTGACATAACCAACTTGGGCAGTAAGAGGGAGTGCCAGATTCAGGGAAAGACTGAGACATGCATTTTCAAGATGGAAACGGTCTCATACAAGACCAGACTTTTTTTTCAGTGCAACTGAGCAGAACAACTCTAAATATACTTAGCAGGAAGTGCAAACTTAATGTGGGCACCTCTGAAAATGTGAACTGTTCAACTGGCACAATATTAGATTTTTTTTTAAGAACGTGACTGCTGGCTAGCCACTTTTTTGGTGACGTTACTAAACCGTGTCTTTTCCCAATCTTTGTTAATAAGCAGAAACCCATGTCAAGATATATAAAGAATAAGAAGCCACTGTGGTAAGTTACACTGTAACTAGATGGCAGCCTACAGCAGAACTAGGTAGCTAAGGAGTGTCTAACACATGTTGTGAGACTCATTGATTCCCTGTGATGCAACTCATCTGATACTGATGACTGGCTGAAGGAGATGCCACTGACTAGCAGCAAACAACATGTGAAGACTAAGAGGTTGATCCCTCTGGAAACAGAACAGGAAATCAATTATATCAACTACCATGGGACTGCTTTCTGAGTTAATTATGTTTCACAGCCTTTGAAAAGAGTGATGTATTCAGAGTGCAGAGGGCAGTAATGGAGATGCAAAGAAAAAAGATGGAAACTGACAGGAACGTGGAAGGTGATGGAAAGCTGCAAAATGAATCTGACAAGTCGACAGAAACGGACAGTGCCTTAAAAAGAAACCTCTAAATGTCAGCAGATGATTTTCCCTGCTCCTCTTGCAGTGCGGTCCTGGTCACTTCTAACACCCTGAGCAGCAGACAACACCTGCCAGCTGTGCCTAAGTTTATGGAGGATGAACTCTGAGGCAAATCACACTCAGGAATGCAGACTGTCAGAACCTCAATAGGAACCAAGAGGTTCTTCACGTGTTAGTCCTATGCTCCACTAAGCTATGGAAACTGTCTCACAATAACATTGTAGAAAGCGGCATGACTAGGAAGCGCTTCTGGCATGTGTCTGCTCAAGGATTACACGGCTCCATTCTGTGGCATGTTATGCCTTCATTTATCTGGAAGTATGCATTTTATTTGATTGGACTGCAGTACAATTTCCAGCTTTCACAAAATAGTGAAAGAATTAAGGAATTTGGAATTGCAAGTAATGCAATAAATAGCTGAGAAGGCCAACTGTAAGGAAGATACCTATATGTTTGTGAACGCTGAAACTGAAACAGGAAAACCCATTCTCTTTTAAAGAGAATAAAAATGCACTGTGTTCTAAAATCCAATATACATGTTTTGTTATGAGAATTCAGGTGGCCTAGGTACTGATTCTTTTTAAACTATTTATTAATAGTAAGTAAAGGGTTATGGTTTTGGTAATAGTCTGTTATGGCTTTTACAGCACAGAAGAATAAAATCTTCCTGGACAAGACTTTGGAGACAGAATATGTCCCAAAATTAAACCTCTTACTTAGAATGATACAAAATGTACTTGCTCCTCTCAACAGTCTTCCAGGTTTTGATTAAAAATAGCTATTCATGATTTGTCACACCACAATTTAAAAAGCAAACCAGGAAAGTAAGTATACACCTTTCCAAACAAAAGGTATGCTGGCTAAATCCAACAGCATGAAGTAGCAACTCTATCTCAGCTGGACTGAGCTTCAGATAAAAATAGATAATTTTCCAAATTAGCATCTGTTTAAAAAAAAAAATGTATATACCTTATGTCTAAAAAATTGCAATATAAGTGAATGATAAACTAAAAAAGCAGTAAGTGCAGCTGATGCATTATGAAATGTCAGACCATTTTCTCCTGATTTTCTGCTTTTAGGTAAGCTTGATAAGTGTACAGCAATGCTAAAACGTAGCTCTTATTTTGAAAAATGTCACTATTTAAGTAACAGTAATTAGTACGCATTGTTTCCATAGTCTTAGATTTCACTACCATAAGCTTAGGTGGTGACTAAGATAACCTAGTAGTAATTAAGAGGGACACTTACTTTATATCATTTCTGGTCATTGCTGAGAGCCTGCTCTAAATAGTTGAAAGATCTTCCAAATGACAACATCTGCTTTTATGAGAAAGTGCAAGTGTAAGCACTAGTACAGGCATATCAGACTTGGTGTTAAAGCCTTTATAAACACAGCACTTGGATCTTGGCATAAAGTGGTACACGAGCTCCGTTTCAATGGGAGGATTGCACTAGAATACATCCTGCAAATTAACTCCCCAGCTGAGCAGACTCCCTTTTACAAGGTGCTTAAATCAACACATGGACAAAGTAAGGACCCTCAAACCCATAAAACTTAACGATCTCTATTTATGCATCAATGTTGTGGCTGCAGAATAGTTCTGTATATGGAATCCTTGTAAAGGAGACTACCCTTTTAATACATGGAGGACTTTTAGGTCAAAAGCTTGACTGTTTTTTAAGAGGGTGTTTCAATGTGCCTCAAACCTTGCAGGGGAGACTTCTACAGTCTTGCAGAAATGTTTCCATTGTGGGAAGATGAGTGAAATTAAATCAATACAGTAAGGGCTCCATATTTCAAACAAACATCACAAACAGCCATGAACAAAGTAAACACTGCAACTGGAAGTTGGTTACTTCTATAAAGTATTACTCACTAGACATGCCTTTCCTCTGGAGCAACAAAATATAAAGCATTTCAGTCAACCTACTGAAATCAAGAGTGGAGTGTGGGAAACAGGCTGTATGGAGTAAAATGATTGATGTCAAGCATTTGAATTGTTGTTGCGTGTCACGTTCAGAGCTGATTTGTCTCAAAATGGTGTCAGCACGCTGGCAGGATGTTCACTTGCAGAAGCACGAAAAGACTTTCTGCAAGCTGACCTATTTCCTGGCTCATCATTACCATTTTGGGTAGTGCTGCAGTACGCTAACAGAAACTAACTTCCTTTCCATAAAATGGGGAAAGTAACAGGGAGGCTACTCAATCATCGGTTCAAGCCAACAAAACAGCAGCAGAAGCAACTTATATAGGCAATAAGGTACGTTCTGGTAGGCCCTGAACTAGCGTGGATCCTGAGCTTACCTAACGTGCCTACAGAGAGTAAAGAACTGAGGCTCATGGAAGGGAAGAGCAACAATTCATTTTGTTTTTGATTGCTGGTTTCTCTGCTTTTTCTTAAAGCACTGGCAAATTCAAGACTTAAAGGAAATGTAAAACAGTTGTAGACTTGTCCGAATGACTGTCAAATGCATGCTAGAAAAATCTTGGCTGCAAGTCTTTTTTCATAAACCTGCCTGAAGAGTATCCCTTTCTATCTGTTCTGAGCATGGAACTACTTTAAATTCACACTACGTTGCCTGAGCGCGGACACAAAGTAGAACACAAGCTCCAATTTCAAGCAAAATCCCATCTGCTCTGCCAAATAAAGTCCTTGGTTACATACAGTTCTGTCTTTCTGAAGGACAGGTGTTCCCATAAGTACTTTCAAAGAATTGTAGATTCCAAGTGAATGCAGCAGTAGGAGGGGAAAGAAAGACCTAGTGACCCCAGGTTCTTGCAGCAGAGACTTATTCTCAGCCTAAATTAACTAGGCTAAGAGTATAGTTTAGATATAGCCTACAAACAGGGACTCCAGTTCTTCTAGCTCTGTTAATAACTTGCTAGATTACCAAAGGCAACTTACTTCACCTCTCTCTCATTCTCAAAAGCTGTACCAGCATAACTCCCAGCATGATAAAGCTTTACCTTTGTTCTAATTTTCACATCAAATGTAACGATGACCTCAATGTCAGAAGCTAGAATGAAATTCAGCCAAATGCTGTATAAAATGTATATTTTATCTGTTGTCCTTGAATAATTTTCAGTTATGTGCTAATTCCTTTGGACTTTATGTTCTGCAGTACTCATTTCAAACAATGCTCATGTGATCTTAACTAACATTTTGAGTCTAACTACAGCTTTTAAACTTCTTGGATTGTATCACAAGAACATGCTAAGCTAAGTCATCAGTTACTTGGTTAACACAGGCTAAGCTATAAATATTGATGTAAAAATTGGCTTATGCAGCATAGTGTCTATAATAAATGTTATTCCCTGCCTCCTGTGAACATTTGGTCCTTCCAATGAAAAGCAAGGCGGATGAGCTGCTTTCTACAGTAGTTTGGCTAAAGTGGTCTCTTATTTTGCAATGAAACACACCAGGAACACTTGCCTGGCCAGCTGAAGATGAATAACTAGTAGCTTAAGGACAGCAGAAAATTCTCAGAACAAATATGGTTCCTGTATCCTATTAGTTTTGTTTTACGGTAACTGGGTACATAACCAGAGCACAAACCTAGTTCCATACTTACAGGAATATTAGCGGGGGAATTGCACCCTGAGGCCCTATCTGGTTCCTTCAGGAGGAACGTCACTACAATGAAGCTGAAAATGGCAGTTTGAGAGGCAAATGGAAGTAGACTCCAGGCTTGCATGATCCTGGAAGACCTATGAGCCTTGATAAGCCACTTCAGCACATTTAAAAAACCAAAAAGCTATATATATTTTTGTGATTTAAAGAAGAATAACTCCAGAATTTTTTGTTAACTATCACTTGTATGCATCTCATGTCTACGGACTTGCAGAAAAAGCTATCCCCTCATTTGTTATGTAAGCCCTAGTGCTGTCTGTAAGATGGGGACTTTTCCCTATTCCTGTGCAGGAGGAATAATCTGTTTATTTCTCCAGCTTCTAAAAGTGAAAGTTTCTTTATTTGTTCCCGCTTAGGCCCCCACCATCCAATAAAATTTTTATGATCTGCAGCAAAGATAACAGTAGCACGTGGGGCAAGCAGAAAACGTGAAGACACGTTTTGAAGGTCCTCGCGATTTGGAGCCGAAGAGGCTCCCCAAAGCGCCTGTAAGGGGCTGCTAACGTCGTTGGTCTAGCAGA